GACATAAAATTTCATAAGAAATGACCAAGACAGACTGAGATATACACGTACTGAAATTTCCATTTACCAATTAGATGCTTGTATGGATAGCTATTGAAATCTGAGTTTTCATTAAGTATTGTTTTTGTTTTTTTGTTTTTTGTTGTTTTGTTTTTTTGTTAAATGAAGGTCTCTTTCATTTGAGCCATCTCTTTCTCACTTTTCTTTTCTTTTTCTTTTTTCCTCTCTTCATCTTCATCATCTTCCATCTTTCCATAAATTTGAGATTCATTTTATACAAAAACTGTTTTTTTTTTTTTTGTTTTTTTGTTTTTTTTGTTTGTTTGTTTTTTTTTGTTTTTTCTAATTCTTTTATCTTTAATTTTTAATCAAGTAACATCAATCACTGTCATCATCATCATCGTCATCATTATTTCCTGGGGGCATTTTTTTCCTCTTTATCACAAAAGATTTTTTCCTCACCTTTTTTTCCCCACCCTATTCCACCATGCTCCCCTGTCAAATGCTCTCCCTACCTATGCTTAATATTTATACAATAGAGAGATTTTATTTATTGATCCAAGGAAGGTTATTTTACTTAAGGGAAGGAAGCCCTTTTCTTTTTCTTTTTTCGGAAAATGAAAATTTTGTATTTAGCGTTACTGAATTTAGGCAAAGTTTCTAAATCAGATATACAGTCAGTTTTCACCAGAGTTTTATTAATCCGCATTTGGCCCAATCAACAAAACTTTGCTGTTAAAAACTTTTATTCAATTAAAACTACTTTCCAAAATATATTTCAAAGGAGAAAACATAAACATGAACAAAGTAAAAAATACATACAGTAAGTCTTTAAGTAGTAGTAGTAGTAGTATCTTGTAAATGCAGAAAAGGTAATCCATTTAAAGGTCCTTAATGCCATCAAAATCTGATTCATCAGATCCTGAAGGGGAAAATCTCAGATTAATAAAATAAAAATATTTAAAAAAAAACAAAAAAAAAACAAGTCTTATTCATTGACTACTTCTATATGTCGTGTCTCCTTAGGATGTGGGCAGTCATGGCTCTCCACAACTTCCTATCCTTTGTAGCCCACAGTATAGTTTATCTTTTAGCAATATCTCTTAACCCCTGTTCTGCTAACCATCTACACAAGCTCGTTAGGTAGGTTATATGCTGCTTTCCTCTGTTCCTATAACATTCAATCTGTCTTGTGAGTATCAAATATTTCAAGCACTCTTTCCTCATTATGTGCCTGAAAAATTTCATCTCTCTCTCTCTCTCTCTCTCTCTCTATATATATATATATATATATATATATATATATATATATATATATCATGCTATGTATGTGTCTTTATTTCCATGTTGTCTAAATTTTCGCTGTTGCTCGTGTTCAGTTCATGGTATTCTCAGTATCCTTCTGTAGAACCACATTTCTGTTGCCTCAAGCTTTTTCTATGTTAGTGGTGAGATATTTACTGGCATATAGAATTATTGATATTACATAACAGTTTGGTATTTTTTTCTTTGTTTCCAATGAAATTTTCCTGGGTTTTTTTTTTAATACTTTGCTTAACTTTTGAAAAACTTCTTTCACTATCCTAAAGTTCTTTCAGATTTCAGTGTCACATTTTCCATCCTCTATTGAAACACTTCCTAAATATTTAAATTTTTGCCCTTGTTTAATTTTTGGTAATTCACATGTTGGCATGTTTCTTTTGCTGACAAACATAGATTCTGTCTTCTTAAAGTTGGTGTTTAGTCCTTTCTTCTTGCTTTCCTTTATTACCTTCTGTAGGAGTTCCTGTAGTTTACTTTCTGCTATCAACACCGTGTTAACTTCATTTCATCTTTACATTTTGTTTGCAAGTTAATATATTTGGGGGTGTGGGGAGTTGCCTCCCCCACTGTTGCCAAGTAACTCTCTACCACTTTCCCAATGCCATAATGTAGCTTCCCTGTGCCTTTTCTATAAATATTTTCATGGTAATTGTTCTTTGGTACTTCTATTTTACAAATTTAAGTGCAGTAATAGATTGGCAGTTAGGTCTCATCATTTTAAAGTTGAAATACCTAGATTTAACCATAATTTCTATGCTAACAATTTCCTCACACTTATGGAATTCACTTCTGGCCTCTTGCTTTCCACTCAACTTTGATCTTCAAAAATTTTAATGCCATGTTGTTATCTTTTGTTTTCTTAAATTCTGTTCTTTTAGTGTTCTCTCTCCTTAATGTTTTTTGTCTCTTTTTCTTTCACACTCAGTAACCTCTTGTGCCTTAGTAACTTTATTGACTTGCTTGGGGTGAAATGATTAAAAAAAAAGGTATCAAATTATTCCTTGATATCTAAAATTCTGCAAACTTATTTATTTTTCTGGAAACAGATAGTACAAATACTATATTTAAAAAAGAATAAGGACAGAGTTATAGGTAGGTATACAGTTATCTTAGTTTTAATCATAAGTTCTTGTCATATCCTAATTACTCATATTGTGGCTTTATTTCATGCTTAATGTATTTTATTCTTTTCACAGCATGTGCCTGCTGCAGTGCTATGACTAATGTGTTAATCAAACTAGTCATTGATTATAACTTTTGCAATGTTTTGTCCAATGGATACGATTTTGTTATTGATTTGTATTATGACAATGCATGTTTTTTTTTCCAGTCACAGAAATTAAATCAATTGCTAGGTATGCTTCCAGGAACATTGGTCCACTGTGTCCTTCCAGACAATTTTTCTCATCAGAATCCATCTTGCACATTTTATTAATCTACAATTCATCCATGCATTGAATAATGCCGCCATATCTGGTCTGATGCCCTTACTATATATCTCGAGATTCTTAACAAAATTCAAAGAAGGGTCTGTAATGTTATTGGTCCTGACCTGGCATCTCAACTTCAGTCACTATCTGTGATGTGGCTTCTCTGTCTTTTCTATAAATATTTTCATGGTCACTATAAGGAGCACTCCTCTTTGGTACCTCATGAATTTAAGTGTAGTACTAGATTGGTAACTTGGTCTCATAGTTTTACAGTTGCACTAGCTAGATGTAACTGTAAGTTCTATTCTCATAGTTTTTCTTTCTTGTACTTCCCACCTATGTTGAGAAAAATAAATTGTGTATATCCAAAGAAAATAGTGATTATTTGTAATTCAAATTATAATTTATGATAATATTATTTAAGTGTTAAGGTAAATATTGAATTTTTTTAAAATTTTATTAACCATTTACATAAGCTTTTTATATGCTGTGTTCCAGTGTCCCTCTTGCCTTTAATCTGTCCTGTGAGTATTCATTTTTACAATCCCTCTTTCCTCATTATGTACCTTAGAAATTTCATCTCTTCCTTTCTGATGTTAAATATTAGTGTCCTTTTTTTTTTTTTTCATTTTATCTATAACTTTGTCATTTCTCACATGTTCAGTCCATGGTATTCTCAGCATCCTTCTGTAGAACTACATTTCTGTTGTCTCCATCTTCTTCTCTATCTGTGTTGAGATAGTCCAGTATCTATTTTATTATTATTTTCTTTTAAGTATTATCTCAGAAAAAAAAAGATATGTTATTAAAACCTACTTTTAGTTAATTGAACTGAATTGTGATATCATAGCTTATTGAATAACTCTTCTAAATTTATGATGAATAATTTGAATCATTTTGGCTTTTTTATGTATTTGTGTATATATGTGTGTATCCATACACCTCATGTATACATATTTGTGTAATGTGTCTTTTAGAGTAGTTTTATCTATTGGGCTATTGATATGTTGATCTAACTTAGATTTTCTGATATCTCAAGTTAATCATCTCCTGTATTCTGAGCCACTCAGCTCTCCTCTGTCTTGAGTTAAAAGCTGTTATTTATAAGCAAGTCCTCATTAGTTCTTAATAGAATAATGGTTGAGATTTGAGTGGTCCATTGCTTTTATTTGATCTTCCAAACTAAGCTCACTTTCTTGTTTGGAAATCAGTGCCTTTGAAAAACTAGAAATATTCAAACAAGAGATTTAGTCTTCTGTCAGAATAGTCTGTACTGCTTAACAGTCAGCTAATATTTATCTTTCTCTCTTTCTCGAGAGTGGCCTTACATTTAATGTAAATAAGTTCCTTGGGCTTAAATTTTACCTTGAGAAACTCTTCATTTGTGCATATTGTTGTCTTAATAAATCCATTCAGTGGTTGACTAATAAATACATAGAAAACCACTTATTATGATTACTTTGGGACAGTATCTTTCAAATAACAATGACCAGCTGATAACATTAAACTGATAAAAAATTGGAATAATTTGTTTAATGTTATAAATTTATTGTTATAAATGAGTTTATATTAATTAATACAAAATGTATTGACTGGAAATTATTATTTTTTTAAATAAAGTGTTTGGGACCAATTCAGTTTGATGAACAAGAACTGTTTAAGAAAATGATCTATTATAATAAATGGTTACTTCCGTCCCTTAATAATTGATACATTCGCATACACATTTCATACACTAAATGTAACAACAATTATGGGACACAGGTAGAACCTTCTTGTTTAGATTTTAACTTGTTTCACAATCTGCAGATCGTATTTGGAAAGAGAAATTTACTTGGACCAAAAAGGGTTTTTTTTTTTTTGTTTTGTTTTACTTCTCTTTGTTTCTCTTTTTCTTTTCTTTTTATTTCCTTTTTTCTTTCTCTTTTCTTTTTTCTCCTCTTTTCACTTTTCTTATTTTCCTTTTCTTTCATTTTTCTTTCTTTCCTTTCCTTGAACTAAAAAGACTTTTTCTTTTCTTGTCCTTTCTTTTTCATTCATTTTTTTCCTTTTCTTTCCTTTTTCTTTTCTTTCCTTTTTTCTCTTTTCTTTTTCTTTTCTCTTCTCTTTTCTTTTTACTTTTTTGTCTTTTCTTTCATTACTTTTCTTTCTTCCATTTTTTTTTCTCTTTTCCTTTTTTCTTTTCTTTTCCTTTTCCCTTTCCCATTTTCCCTTTTCTTATTTTCTTTTCCTTTCTTTTTTCCTTAGCTTTCATTTTTCTTTTCTCTTTCTTTACTTTTCTTCTCTTTTCTTTCTTTTTCTTTATTTTCTCTTCTTTTTTCTCTTCTTTTTTCCTGTTCTTTTTCTCTTCTTTCTTTTCTTTTTTCTTTCTTTTTCATTCATTTTTTTTCGTTCATTTAATTCAGTTTGCCTATAACAACCAATTCTCTTTCTTTGTTTTATGTTCAACTGCATCTCTCAGAAAAACTCACAGTGACCTGTTAAATAACAACAAAACTGGATTTTTTTTTTTTTTTTTGCCTCCCTAGAAAAAATATCAGTAATTTTTTTTTTAAATCCTCCTGCATCTCTGAGCATTAAACAAGAGAAATGTGTTATGTCTACGAACAACACACTAAAAAATACAATCTGTTTAAAGCAATGACTTAATCACAATATGGTCCCTCTTCTTTCTTTTTTTCTTTGCAAATTTCTAAGAGATTTCTCCTGACACTGAAAATAAAAGTACTTCTCTATCTATTATAACCTTTAAATACAATAGCTACTACCCCTACCATCAACTACTATGATTACCATGCCTGCTTTTTTATCCCCTATCAATTCAAAAAAAAAAAAAAAAAAAAACTTTAAAAGCACTTCTCAACTCTGAACCCCTACAATTGCATAAAAAAATGGGTGGGGAAAGAAGCTAGTACTAAGAGAAAAGCAGCCGGAGAAAGTGTCCAAAGTTGGTCAGTCGATTGCAAGATAGAGAGTGCTGGGGGTGATTTATAGCTGCCAACGATGATGGGACATTTTACATTTAAGTTAATTCAGGTAGGCTCCCTGACCAACAAAAAATACTAAAATTTGTGTTGAGTGTGTGTCCACACTTTGCTATTTTTTTACAAACAATATATTAATGAAATTCCTCTTTCTTTATTTTTCTTTTCTTTTTCTTTTTTTTTTTTCTTTTTTTTTCTTTTTTTTTTTTTTCTTAACCCCCACAAGTAAAGTCAGCCATGTATTTCATAATATTTTAAGTAAGGAACATAATGTTTAAAATCTCTCTGAGTTTTTAACTTTCTTGTCAATTTGTTTCTTCTTCATCACTTTTTAATATTTTAGCTTTATTTCTTTCTTTCTTTCTTTTTTTCTTTTCTCAACTTTCCTTCTTTCCTTACATCTTTTTTATTTTCCATAATCTCTTATCTTTTCTCATTCTTCAATATTTTTTCCTTCTTTACTTGATCTTCATTCATTCTTTATTCCTCGCACTTTTCCCTTTCTGTTTTGTTTATCCTTTCTCTCTTTGTTCTTTGGGGTTTTTCTCTCTGTTTTATTCCCCCCCTCTCTCTCTCTCTCTCTCTCTATCTCTCTCTCTTTTTTATTTGGCTTCCTTCTCACATTTTGTTTCTGTTTCATTTCTGTCACTTTTTCCTTTCATTTTTTCTCTCTCTTTCTTTCCTTTCATTTTTGTCTCTCTCTTTCCTTTTATTTTTTCTCTTGTTTCTCTCTCTCTCTCTCCTTTCGCGTGTGTGTGTGTCTTTCTCTCTCTTTTCATGTCTCTCTCTCCCTTTACTTTCGTATATATATATATATATCTCTCTCTCCCTTTCCCTTTGTATGTCCTCTTTCTCCCTTTTTATATGTCTTCTCTCTCTCCCTTTCCTTTCCGTGTCTCTCTCTCCCTCTTCCCTTTTGTGTGTGTGTGTGTGTCTCTCTCTCTCTCTCTCTTCCCTTTCATGTCTCTCTCTCTTTCCTTCATGTCTTTCTCTCTTTCCTTTTGTTCATGTCTATATCTCTCAGCTATTCTTCCTCTCTGTGTTTCATGTTTATTATTTCTGTTTCTCCTTTTGTGTATGTCTGTGTTGGGTGGTTATATATAACCTATCTTTTTTATATATACTTCTCTTTCATAGCATTTTTTCTTTTTTTTTCTTTTTACTCTTTCTGTATTCCTTTTTTTCTCACCTAAACATCTATAGCAATGTCAATGGTCCACTACTATGAAAGTGAATTCTATCACACACCCCTACCTGCCCCCATCAAATTATTTTTCTCTTCCCTTTGCTCAACTTCCCTGACATGAACTGACTCTTGCTCTAAATATTTAAAATTGAAAGACGGCTCATCATATTTTTCTTTCTGGTCTGCCTTTTCCTGTTTTTTTTGTTTTTTCAAATTATCTTACTTTCTAATTCTTAAGTTTATTTTTTCACAGCTCGTTTTCTTGTGTCCAGAATTAAACTTTTAATTATTTGACGTTTATTAATCATGAGTTTTTTAAAAGAATTATATATATATATATATATATATATATATATATATATATGTTAGACCTCAGGTAAAAATGAGTTTGTTAGTAAATTATTTGTATTCACTATTTGAGAGAAAAGTAAATGTAGAATAAAATGTATAGAAACTCTATGTATTAACCAGTAGTTGGTTTTATTTTCAAATTACCAGCTATTTTTTCCCCACCTCAGTTTAATCAGAAAGGGGAGCAAATGAGAATAAACGGAAAACTTTTAAAACTCACTAATAC